GTACGAACACAAGGGTATATAATTTGCTAGATATGCATAATTATGTGACCGCTCACTGCATAAAGAAAAATCGTGTAATCCAATCCAGACGAAACAAAACGAATTGATCCTCAACTTTCAATTTATAGCTACTGGATCCTCAACCTGTAAATTTTGTAACAACTAAGTTTCCAATGGATAGTTTCACTCAGTTTGATAGTTAAAAATTTGAGTTAGTAAAAATAATATGTCAGAATCCCCATCCTAACTAGTGTGCCATATGTCTCAATAAGGTTAATCGAAATTGTTACTCTCGAGAATCGAAATCTAGAATCAAGAATCGATTGGATCTCAAACGATTATTGGTTCTTGAACCCTAGTTATGGATACCCATCTCTAGAATCACAATATATATATATATATATATTTTTTTTTTCTTCTAACAATTTGTTCACCTTGATCCAGTGGCCCAATAGGTGAAAAGACCTCGAAAGGATGCATTTTTTGAGTTCAAGCTTGTGTTAGGCTCTTTGAATAGTAAAGTCTACAATATTGATTGTTGTGTTAATTTCTTAGTAATGAATTTACATTGTTCTTAGTGATAAAATCTAGTACTTCCTTATTGTTGGTTTTTAGTTTTTGTTTTGTTCTTTGATAATTTGGTGTTTATGCCCTGCTAAATACTTGATGCTATTTGATAGTTTATTTATAGTGGATTAAGAAAATGTTGAAATATGTATTTTTATTACAAATTTTTATTTTTTATATTTCTACTAGATATTGAGAAGATTATTTGCATTGTCAGGTCACTTTTTTCTTTCATGTTTGATTTTAGTAATTACGTTGATTGAAATTATTTCATTTGCGAAATACTTGAAGTACAAGAGGAGGTTCTAATACTGAAATATTCAGATCCACCCAATCGATGCCCAAGCCTAGCTCTCGATTTTGCAAACGTCCCCCTTAGGCACACCTCACCCTAGATGGAGCTTGGGGGTGACAAATGTTGGGGTTAAGAGTTGGGGCATAGCTGAGAAGCCAGGGTGCGCAACTAGGTTGTATTGGGATAGGGTTGACCTGGACTTTCCACTATCCCTTTTTTCTTCTTTTCTTTTTTTCTTTTTTTACATGCTTTTTATTTTTTGTTTTATTTTTATTTTATTAAAAATAGGAGTATAATAGATTTTTAACAAAGTTAACTTTGTAATAGTGGAATATGCCCAATTATCCATTGAGGGAATCAATCACAATAAAATTGAAACGTGAAGGTCCAAATTGTTGGAAACTTTTAATTATCGGCCTATCTGTTCTATTTTCCGTAGATTGAGACTCCAACTGTAATCTCCCTTTCTAATAGTAAAAGGAAAAATAAAAAATAAAAAATTGTGTAACTTTAGCTACTATATGTGAGTTTTCACGTGTAATTATACCTAAGGCATGCTTTCATTAATAAAGTTGCCTTTTTATTATTTATTGCAACAATTTATTTGGTAAGTCGAAAGTAAATTGTGACATTACGCATTAGAATTAAGACAAGCACTATTATATTAGTTTTATTAGGAAAAAAGGAAGCCGTGAGCAAAGGTGGGTTCTATGGTGTAGTGATTAGCACTCCGGACTTTGGACCTAGATTCGACTCACGGCAGGACCTATCTTATATGTTGAATAACTTTTGGGCCGACCCACAACAGAAAAGGTTAAGTATTTCTACTTGAAAATATTATGGAGATTTTATTTAAAAATAATGTTATTTATATTCACTCACTGCCACAGTCGTCCTACATGACATGCATGTGGCGCAAACTCTGGTTGTAGAAATTGATTCCTTATGAATTATATAACTCATGTTTAGTATGACTAAAATAAATAAATTTTTAATAGATCTTGATAAAAATTGATGAAATATGTGATTGTAAAATAGATAAAAAGTTGTAGATCCCATAAAACGTCTTATCGAAATTGAATTTGTGAAAAATGAGTTATGAAAAGTTGAGAGCAAACATAAAATAAATTACATTGTCTATATTTTGTGGATAAACATCTAGTCAAGAATGCTACCTGATTTTAGGAAGTAAAAGCTTGGCTACATTTATTTTATTTTATTTTTGGAAAGGAATCAACAATTGTTAATGGTGATATCTTGTGTAGGCATCAAATTAGTTGTACATGTGGCACAGTATTATCCGCAATGTGACATTGCATATATTTACCGTTAAACTAATGTGATATATGGAAAATTATATATCAAAATGTGCAGAACGATTATTTTGCACATTGGCGTACCAATATGAGAACTTTGAATTCTTCATAATTATTCGTAGAATTCAAGAATGCAAGATTGAGCATTTAGTGGAATGACTAATCATTGTTACTTGGTATTCTCCCATTCAAGCTCCAACTTCTAACACTATATGAATCAATTGTATCAGGATCTCGGATTATAGAATTATTATATCTCCAATTAACATGGAAAATATGGTATTTTACAAAATTATGATAATATACATGAGACTCAAATTCATAAAGACTGAGAGGTCACCCCAAATGGAGTAGATCAATCACTCCCACTTCTCTCTTAGACAAACTTGCCACTATTGGCATGTTTAAAAAAAATCAACTTTATCGTTAGTTTAGTTGCATCTTTTAATGTGTTTTTCAGTTTTCAGTTTTGCGCAACATTGAAGTTGTTTTTGGTTTGATATTTTTGAAAATGTATCTTTGAAAATGAAGATAAACCTATAGCGTAACACTCAAAATGTATTTTTTTTACGTTTTAAGTGTTTTCAGAGAAATTTTTGAAAAAAAAGAGTCTAAATAAATTTTATTTAAATAAAAATATAAAATTATAATAAATTTTAAAATTTTAAAAATAAAATTGGTGCATTCTAAAGAATAATTTTTTTTTGAAAAAATAAAATCTAAAATTCCCAAAGAATAAAAATTCTGAAAAAAAAAATAATAAAAATTTCTAGAAAATTAAAAATTATAAATAATTCAAGCTCTTAATGATTGTTTATTTAAAAATTCTAAAAAATATTTAAATAAACACAGATAAAAATATTCTCAATCCACGTTATTAATTTTTATTTTTATTTCCTATATTTTGAACTCAATTTATTATGCATTTTTATTTTACTTTTATAACCAAAAAAAAAATTGTGAAATTAGCCAACTTTAAAATGTATATACGACTTGATAATATATATAAACTTAAAATTGTTAATCTTTTACTGAATGGTCAAATTTTATGAAATAAAATGTCATAATACAATTTTTCAAAATTTTCAAACTAAATATATTTTCTAATTTTCCTTTTTTGAGAAATAATTTTTCAAAATGACTAACCAAACACATTTTTAGCAATATTAAAACAGAACCCCCCAAAATAGAAAATTGAAAATGAATTCAAAATTGAAAGTTGAAAACTGAAACACAAATCAAACTGGCCCTTAGCATCTGTTCAGTGCAAATTAATATTAGATTTTTGCATAATTTGAATTTAAAGGTTGGAAATTGGGGATTTGTTTTAAAATATTTATTCAAATGGCAAATTCAATTAATTTCCTTGACACCCCTTGAGAAATACATTTCTTAATTTCCAATTTTGCCCTTCACATAAAAGAGTGAATCACCATTTTTGATGGAAACGTTGATATGTTAGGTAATTCGAGAGTCGAGATGAAAATTAATTGATGGGATGGAAGCTAAAAAAGTCAAAAAGTTCATTATTTCTTTGCCAAAACTTTAAATTATTCCTTATGGGACCCACAAAGTTGCACCAAAAAAACGTCCTAAAAAAATCTGCTTCAAAAGTGGGCTTAGTCTTATCTCAAAAGTTGAACCCCAATCTTGAGAGTCCCAATATGTCGTCTCTAGAATTTTGTGAGAGAGGTAAATCGCGGGATGTGCCACAATAGGTCAGGGAACAAGAGCTGCATGTACACTGTGCTTACAAGAAATCCAATTCTATGTCTCAGGAATCGAACCCCCACACTACGACTGCCAGCAAGACATGAGATAACTTCACTTTTACCCTTTGCACTACTGAGCTATGCCCCGAGGGGCTGGGCTTAGTCTTATCTCGAATAGATTGTATCCGTCCCTGTTTAGGATTAAAAATCAACCTCATTAGCGATTGAGTTAATCTTGAAATAATGATTTTTTTTTCTTTTTTTTTTTTTTTCTCTCTACCTAGGATTAATTATATTAGATCCTTGACTTACTTTGGCCACAGAAAAGTGCAAATATCCTCCATAGGAAAAGAAGAAAAAAGGAAGCAAAGTAAAGTAAAATTACATAAAAATGGACACTCGCACACATGCATGATAGTGCCATCCGTGAGCCAGCTAGCTGACTTCATTGCATTGAAAAATCAAAGCATTATCTTCAAAATGAAGCAAAGCACCTATATCAAGTCAACAGCCTGATTCTTCAACTCTTTTTCGTTGCACAGATCAGAGATATGCTTTTGCTTACTCAAAAGTCTCAAAGCACGAAACTTTTTTCATTCTTTTTTCTTTCAGAAACATGCAACCTAATTAGAGAAGATACCAATTTTCACCCAATTAAAGAGGTGGAGAAATGGACTTTATATGCCAGATTTCACATTTCAATATGAAGAAAATGCACGTTGTCCAAAGCTTAAGTTGTTAGAAACAACACAAATTTATTTATTTCAATCTTAGTCTTCAATATGTCGTCTCATGTATAGACGGAATTTATTTTTGGTTAAAGGTCTGATACATGTAAAATTGTTTTAAATGAGTGACAACGTCAGTTGCTCCTTGTCTAATGTGATATATTACACGTTAAACCATCCATGTTGTCTATATATCACCTGCAGGTTGCAACATGATGTCTGCTTTTCCTTCATATCGTACTTTGCTACTCATATTTTATGTAAAAGCAAAAGGCAAGGGAGGCCAAATTAATCATATACACACACAAACACATAAGAACTAATTCAAGAATCAGTAAAGAATCTAAATATATGGCCTAACTATATATACTGTTTTTAAGGAAAAGAATGTACTATTCTTTTTTCGGTTTTTGAACTGATAGATTTATTTTCCTGGGAAAAAAAAAAAGCCAAAGAAAAGTAACAGTTGATAGAAAAATAGGAATCAGTCCATCCCATGATCACTATAAAGATCCCTCAGCAAAACCCTCCATGCACGTTGACTCCCCCCCTCCCCCCTCCGGACCCACGCTCCCAATCTAGAATGGACAAATCGAAGTTGGGTAGAGTTGGAGCAATGAGCAAATTGCCACCAGGATTTCGGTTTCAGCCTACAGATGAAGAGATTGTGTTTCAGTACTTGGCACCTAAAATATTTTCCTGTCCTTTACCTGCTTCAATAATTCCAGAAATCAGCATTTCCAAATATGATCCATGCAGGGAATTTCCAGGTAAATTACTTTAAGCTTTTTTAAACAATGTAGTTTAACAACTGTGCTTTCATTACTAATTTATGTTTCAATTAGTTTAGGGTTGTTTTCTTGACAAAGATTTTCATGAAAGTTTTAGCAAAGTTTAATAAAATTTGATTGAGAAGTTGTTATAATTTTAGCAAAGTTTATTAAGCAAGCAAATGTAAACCATTTGTACTGTACTGTATAGGGGATTCAACCGGCAAGGACAAATACTTCTTCAGCAATAAGGAACCTGGAAACAGAAGTAGTCGAGCAACGGAAGATGGCTACTGGAAGGGCAGTGGTTCAGATAAAAGAATTATATATCGGAAACGGAAACCGATAATGGGGATGAAGAAGACATTAGTATTCCACAAGGGGAAGTATCCCCAAGCTTCTAGAACAGATTGGATCATGCATGAATATAGCATTACAATTTATGGAAACATAGCTAGTAATTCCAAGCAGAGAAAAAATTCTCAGGTATTAATTTTCTATATAAATATTCAATTTACAGAGTTCCTATTTCTGCAAATTAATATAATCTGTTGGATTGCAGGGTTCTTTCATCCAAATAGGAAATTGGGTTTTGTGTCACGTGTTCAAGAAGAAACCAAGTACAAAAACTGAAGTTTATGTTGATAGGCCTAGGTTTTGTGGTTTGATGAAATCAGAATTAGAAGATACATGTTCTTCTTCTTGTGCCTCCTCCTCTTCTTCTAATTTATGTTCTGATCATTCTAGTTTTTCCTCTGAGGTCTCTTCCAATGCAGCAAATGAGGAAACCAGTAGCAGAAATGTGTAGTGTAATGCCATCTCATTATCGAAATGAAAGCTCGTACATTCTCGTTTGATCTGTTAAACTACCTCCTCTATGTGAGTCGAATATCCAAAAATACAATGACAATTAAAAACAGTAAAATTGCATTAGCATCTGTAATCCTAACCATAATTGGGACTTTTTATTCAAAGAAGGCTAATATAAATGTGTATATAGATTTTTTTCAATGACAATTATTGACTTAATCATGATCTTATGTTTCACTTAGACGGTCATTGAATTTTGAAATATACATCCTACTTTCGATGATTAAACAATCGTTATAGTCCAAGTGACGTCAATTCGATGAGAAATTCAATTTTCCTTTATTCGTCAAGCCACTGGGTGAAACTTGTCTCCATTTTTTTATTTTTAAGTTCTAGCCGTCAATTCGATGTGATTTAATTTTTAAAGTACGTGGTTGCTAGTAGTAAACTACAAATCAAAACATTGTTTTTCATAAATGCCTCTTGATCATGTTCTTGTGAAAGAGCAGACATAAAGGGTATATGAATAAGTGGCTTTTGCTATTAAAAGACAGTGTATCTTTCAAAGGAAATCACTAGAAATGGAAGAAGAAGAAGCAAGCAAAGTATATGCTCCAAAACAACTTTATATAAAGTGATCCCTTTCAAGAAGAGAACCTCAATTTAGGATCAAGAATATTTGCACATGTTTCTTGAAAAGTAGAATTCTCTATAAAAATTTTGACAGCCGTAAAGTTTCAATGCTTATTTTTAGATTTTGAGTTGGCAATTCTATGAAAAAAGGGTCAAATTGTAATTTTTCAAAAGTTTGGGAGTCAATTTGTCAATTTTTAAAAAGTTAGGGGTCAATTTGTACATGTTTGAAAGTTGGGGACTAAGTCGCAATTTTTCAAAAGTATACTAGGGTTTGAGATTTGAAGAAGGGCAAGAAGTGTTGTTGAAGTTTTGCTAATTGCTCGCCAGGAGATCGCTCGAGCGCAAAAAACAGAGAGTTCGTCACTAGCTTCTCGAAACTGCTTCGCTTCAGCGAAACAGCGTCGTTCGCTTTTCGCTCAAACGACAGTGTTACCTGAAAAATCCTATTTTACTTTTTTCGAGATTTTGACCCGACCCATATGACCCAAAACATCTCATATAATTCCAGTGCATCACTTTTCAGTTGTTTTCTAGAGGATTGAACTTGAAGAAAACATTCTACACTTTGATCTATCCATACAATCTCACATTCTCTTGGCGTACTTACATAAAAAAAAAAAAAAAAAAAAAACATCAAATCCACTTTTATAAAACACTATAATCAATCCTTTCAGAGCATCTGTTGAGATTTGAAGATCAGGGAAGGAGATCGGAGTTCCGATCATTGGAGAACAGGGAGTTCTAAAAAATTCACAGGAGATAGACGAAATGAAGAGCCAAGAATTGGTGTAAAAGCACACAATCCATGAGGGTTTGAAGCTAAGAGTTGGTGCAGAATCATGCATTCCAGAAGGGCTTTGGAAAATTACAATTACGAGGTCAGAAAAACTGGTGTTGGTTGAGTCTGACAGATTGTAAATGGTACTTTCATTTATAGTGGATTTTATTGGCTTGTGCTAGGAGTTTTACCCACGTTGGGGTTTCTCCGTCATCAAATAATTGTATTCTTTATATCTCTACAATTTACTTGTTTATAGAAGTTCAATATAGGATAGTAAAACATGTGAATTGACTTGGACATATTAATAATTGTGACTTGTTGTATTTATTAATAAATTAGTGAAAATTCTGCATAAAAACATATTCACCCCCCTCCCTCGAGGTGTTATTTAGGTCAAACTACTATATTTCACTTATTGTTAGCAATTCCCTCCTTTTATTCATATTTTATTTGGCAATTCGGAATTGTTTTATTCGTGAAGTTTATTGATCGATGCTACAAATTGTGTTTTGTTCTTCCTTTGTGAAGTGCAAATTATCACCACCATTGGAGTCTCCTTTGTGGGGTGAAGATTGAGGCAACCAAAGTGTCGATTTGATTTGGATCGAGTTAGCTAAAGTCGTGTTTGTCTGTTGATTTTTCTGAGCCCAAATTCAAGATCTCTCAAGCTTCCGTGCAACAGTAAAAATGGCTAAACTGAATCAAAATCGAATTTTCGATGCCGTTCATTCTGTTGATGTAGACTATCAGCGATTTGTTTTGAACATGACACTGTTTTTGCTAGTTTTGCGTGACTTTGAATATAAGGATTTTTTATTTTCTTTTTCAAAAAATAAAAAAATTTCCCTTGTAGTAATTACTTCATTGATTTTTTTTTTTTATAAAGAAAGATTCATCAGCGCTTATTTGTGATTAAAATGATGAGTACACATTGTTACAATAAAATTTTTGCTTGCGTTAGATTTTTAATTAAAAAAATTATATTCAATAAAACTTGAATAACATAGGTTTATCTTTAATAATTCTTTATATATTAAATTAAACTTTTAAATTTTTTAGCGATTCAATAGAGCGGTGCTAGAGATGATTATTTTAAATTGGCAACTATTTATAAACATTCAATTTTAAAATACTAAAAATACAAATATATTCATAGTAACTCAAATAATATAATGATTAAGAACATCTCCAGAAAATTCTTTAAATACAAAATATTATTCATTTTAAGAGTTGATGTTTAAAAACAAATTTCGATAGACTATTTCTTTTACTAATGAGTAATGATTGCATTTAATAAGTTAGAGATTTCAATACCTATTTAAATTATTCAAATCATGTTTGAATTGTTTGTTAGTTGACTCATAAAATAATATGTTAAGACCCTGATTGGTGGGAATTAAATTTAGATATTTAATAAATTTTGATAAAAGTTAATGAAATATGTAATTGAAAAGTTGTGAATTCCATAAAATATATAATTAAGCTTAGTTATTGACTTTGATTTAAACTAAAATCTAGATTTTAATTTCTACTAAAAAGAGGCTAAATAAGGAGAAATAAATAAATAGTTTTTAATAAAATGAAAAGCCAAAATAGAGAATCTCTAAATTTAAATGTTATTTATTATACTTTAAAATGCTCTTTATAAATATAATTTCTTAAAGATGCTATAAATTTGGGTTAGCAGCAAAATACAGTGCATCTTTAAGAAATTATATTTTATGACAAAGGTCAACAGTGCATGTTTGCAAGAGCTTAAAATTTTATTTTCATATTTCATGATCTTATTGCTTAGTGTCCACACATCTCAATTATATCATTTAGTGCTGGTTTGAATAAATTATAAGTTACTGATACTTTAATCATTTATTTATATTAAAATTATAATGCTCCCCAAACATGCACTTGCTATTGTGTCCGCAACATGCATCCTGACGTTATCTTTAATGCCTTGTGATTGTCAATGTGGGGTAATAAATCAGTGGCAATGGAATCCTATATTTTCTAAGATACATTTTCTACCGTTCATGGTATAGGGGATGTGCAGAACATCTAAGAGTTCACTCGATGAAAGCACAAAGCTGAGGCTGAAAGCTCATCAGATTCAGGACATTAAAAATCACCAAATTAAGAAACTTAAAGAGCAGCATAATATAGAGAAACCATATTGTTCAAAATGCAAATTACATTTATTAAACAAGCTTCCTATATAAAGATTCTATAGACATGATAGTTCAGATTCTGTTTTCAGATACCAGAAGAACACCCTTTTGCTATCTGCAGATGGAACCTCGTCCGATATCTGCAAGACGCAACCAACTTCAACCTGGGAGAAAGGAATAAATTCAGTCGGAGTTCAGCAAACAAAAGCAGCAACATATTTATGCTTCACTTCCCAGTAAGAAAAGAAAAATAATTTTGAAAAAACAAAATTTCAAAGATGCACGAACGTAGGCCTCTATTAACAAATACATCTCTAGGTGTGACGAAGATGTTTCTAAAATGAACAATGCTGGTTAAGCTCCTCAAACCATAGAATGTAAAATGAGAAAATGGAATTTATGATGAACTAGTCAAAATGAATCTGGAATAGAGTCGTCTCAATTTTGCACTTAGTATGCTAAAAATCAAAACATTACCAATCAAACAATCTAAAGCGGATCACTTGTGGTAAAATGTTCCATAAGTTACAAAGTGCACAAACATAATAAATTATCAAGGGGGAATTTTAGGAAAGTAAGCAAACCGAGAGGGGGAAACTATTAGGACATGTCTGGTTCTTTTTTGCTAACACTGTCCAGTTATACAGTCCACCTTACGATACAAGCCATTAGTATTTAGGGTTTAAGCATAAGCTTGTGGCATTCCTAAAACAGCAACTGCTACAATTAAAATACAAACTTATCTTCGAAACATACGAGGGAAGCAGGGATCAATGAGGAAGAGAATTCAACACATACCTAACAAGAAGAGAGAGCAGAAGAGAGAAATTCTTCATCCTCCAAAAATATCTGCAGATTTTTAGTCTTCATCAAGAACCCAATAGCTGCCTCATCGAATTCCAGTATAAAACCTAGTTTGATAAGTTCAGCAAGCTGTTGAATATGATCTTCTTTATCCCACAGAAGCCCCAGAGAAATTACTTCAGCAAAATATGTTGCAAATTCAAGGACATTCTTATAACCACCTGATTTATCCACCTTCTGCATAAAAAATTCTGACTTCTCTCTCTCCCAACGCATCAATCTGCTTGCACTGACATTTATGATTTCCCCCGAAGTAAGTGGTAAACTGTATTCCACGGTTATTGGGGTCGGTGTCTCAAGAACAGAAATTTCAAGCAAGCCCTTCAGAGCATCGTGCCTCTTCTGTACTTCAATTTGGAGATCAGCAAGAAAACCAATAATTAGTTTAAACAATCCTCTTTTAATGAAAACCTCTCTTGAATTCACCTGTGTGGGAGCAATGTCGTCGAATGCAGATTGCTTACTTTTCTGAACAGATTCAGATAAATTTCGCACTCCAATTTTGCTGTAAATATCAAGCAACTTATTTCTGGGCAAGGATTGCACACTTGGCTGAGGATACCAGACAAATAGCGGCTGCAAAGCAGACTGTTCAAAAAGGTCCTTCAGGCAAAGATCATCTGCAATGAAGACGTCATGTTTGTCCACCAACGAAATTCTTTCTGAACCAGACAAAACTGGAAGTTTCAGAATGTTCTCAGAAAGAACTTTCTGTGTCACTAAACTCCAATGCTTGGCAACAAACCCCCAGAAGGCAGCGCATTCATCACTAGATAATAAGTGGCCAGAAGCCTCCCAATCCATCCAAAGGCTACAGTAGTCATCAAGAGAAGGAAATTTTTTAACTTCTAGAGCACTAGAGAAGAAATCCAGCAATTTCTTCTCGTAATACTTGTCCAAAATGTTCAACTGCTTACCAAATAGACCATCTTTGTCATGAAGAACACATTCATCAGAACTTACCCATTCGCCATCATTAGGCCCATTTGGGATCCATATTTTTGCAGCATCTTCACCGGTGGGTTTCCAGTTCAATTCATTTAAGTATGAATAGATCCGCTTGATAGCCATAAAATTTGTATGATTGTCGAGGTAATTGGCAAGCAACAAGCATCCATTTTTCTTTTCAACCACAACTCCTAAAGCATTTAGCTCTTTTGAATAAAAACTTATGCTAGGGCCATAAAATGTTTCGTCGATGAAAGGCCCGTCCTCTTGAGATAAGGTAGAACCCCAATCAGAACCAAACAGCAGGCACTTGTCTGGAGACCTATAACCGACATGAGTCTTTATCCATTCTCGGGCAGCTTTTTGTGAAAGCGTAGCAATTAAAGGCTTATTCTCCTCTCTCTGCAAATTCCCAATGCATTCCAACAATGAGTATACAGCTGCAGCTGTGATGCAGCTAGGATCTTGAGGTAAATGAAGGCTTGAAGCCACAAACTTAGCACCGTATTTAAAAGAAACGACAACTCCCAAGCTCTGAAGCTCCTCTTCATACTCGTGAATGCCCTTGCCATAGTAATTCTCACCATCATCAATAAAAGGCAATAGAGATATTGAAGAGATAGATAACCAATCTGGACCAAACAAGATGCACTCTTTTGGTACTTTACAATCAGTAAGTCGAGTGCGCAGCCATTTAACCTCTTGAACGCAATTCTTAAGATCCGAAGGAAAATTAAGACCAGAGCTTTTCAACTTTTTGTAGCATGCGAGAAGTGAAAGGACATTATCTTTATTTATGGAAGACAATGATGCTTGCTGCCTAAACACACGTGCAAATGCTTTTGTTGCTTCCTCAAAATCAACGAGCACTCCTATTTTCTTCAATTCATTTCTGAATGACAAAATGCTTTCTCCATAATATAGGATATCAACAAGAGGAAAACTGTTGAAAACTTGCAGAAGGCAACCCCATGTAGGATCAAACAGATAGCATTCAGCTGGAGATTTGTAACCTATATTTGTCTTCAGGCGTATCTTCTCTTTAAGAAGTCTGACAAGTTTGTCAGACGAGCTTAAATGACGCAAGCACTCCAGCATCAAAAGAACAGCTTCGGCTGGCAGAGATGTAAAGGATGATGCAGATTTTAAGTTGTCGACAACAAGTTTGTAGTTTCCATTGAAGCCGAATACCACGCCAAGGAGCTGAAGTTCTGTCTGAAAAGGAACAATTTCTACCCCATAATAGTCACGATCAATGAATGGAATATCACTAATTTGAGAGGCAGCCTTCCATTCTTTATCATAAAACACAGATTCCAGAGGGCTCCTATCACCTTGGGAAGTCCGTAGCCATCTTTTATCCTTTATTCTGTTGATGAAGTTATCAGGAGGAAGCGTCTTGTCCCTCAAAAATCTGATAAAATTCAGCATTGAGAAAACATGGGCCCTAGTTAGAGTGGATGAAGCTGCTATCGACATAAGGTGATTTCCAATATATTCACATGCTTCATTAAATTCAGACATGACCCCGACTTTTCTCAACTCCTCATTATATTTTAATATTTCTTTGCCATAAAAACTTTGATCTACCAATGGTATATCAACAAGCACTGATCCATCTTGAAGAAGGCATCCCCATGAAGAGGTAAATAGGAATGATTCTGATGGTGGCTTGCAGCTAATACTGCCACCAAGCGAAACCCGAAGCCAGCTTCCGTTCTTTATGCAGTTCAAAAACTTGCTTGGCATGTTGCGTCCCTTCTCTTTCAGGTTATGAATCCACTGTAAAAGCAAGAATGCATTTTGTTTGGTTAGTAAAGAAGAGAAACTTGGGATTTGCGCATCTGGAGGACGCAAATTAGGTATATCTGAAGCTGCTACATGAGATTCAAGAAATTGTAGTAGTTCTTTCTCTTGGGTAGGAACGCCAGCATGA